AAATATGTAAGTGACAGAGACCAGAAGTGTATATGTTGCAAAGCTTAAAATATTTACTGTCTGCCCTCTGTCAAAAAAATTGGCTTACCCCTTGCATTACAGCTTTCCAAGTGGCTCCAAAAAGTGAATAAAACACTTCAGACTTAAAATCAGGTAGATGCTGTATGCGACAGTGTTAGCATGAACTGTTTTTAATTCGCATATGCCAGAAAAAAATTCAACTTTTACTTCTACAAAAATTCCATTTTATGATACTATAGAACTCCATGTACTATGTCGAATATTTGTGGAAGTAATGGCTTATTTAAGAATTCAAACTCTGTTAAATCTTAAATGAAAGTTTTAAATAAATTATCATTTGTTTTTTAAAATGCATATTCATAAAGGAACATTCCATGGTTCTGTTGAATTCCAGGTAGTGGTTGGACCAGGAGTATTTACAGGAAAGGAGAACAGAAAATGGAAAAATAACAACAGATACCTTTTTCTATCCTTCTGCTGTTTTATAACTAGAAGTGTTAAGCTCTTCGTTCTTCTACATGTTTAACTTATTAGAGTAGCTGTCCTTGTTCATTTGAAGCATTACGTTTGTCTTTAAGGATAATTAATGAGGGCACTCATGCTATTTATAATCTTCAGCCTCCATTTTTATATTTAAATTACACAGCAAGTAAACTTAGAAATTCATGTATTTTTGCATTACTTGAAATATGTTTGTAGTCTAATTTTTCAAGTTCTGTATAATAATGAAAAATGTCATAAAATACTGCATGGAGTAGAAACTGAAAAATGTATATGTAAATACAAGTTAAATATAATGTATGTACTTCATTGATTTTTAAAATATCCACATCTTTCAAGGGTGGTATTTTGTTTGTGTCTTTGAAGGATACAGTCTTTGAAAGGAATTAAATGAGTACAAAATCCTTTTCAAAACAGGAATTAACAGGAATTAACACAAGGTCTTCAGCTCTGTGTCAGTCAAGTTCAGTCACTCAGTCGTGTCGGACTTTTTGTGACCCCATGGACTGCAGCCCGCCAGGCCTCCCTGTCCATCACCAACTCCTGGAGTTTACTCAAACCCATGTCCATTGAGTCAGTGATGGCATCCAACCATCTCATCCTCTGTCGTCCCCTGCTCCTCCTGCCTTCAATCTTTCCCAGCATCAGAATCTTTTCAAATGAGTCGGTTCTTCGCATCATGTGGCCAAAGTATTGGAGTTTCTGCATCATTCCTTCCAAAGAATATTCAGGACTGATTTTCTTTAGGATGGACTGCCTGGATCTCCTTGCAGTCCAAGGGACCCTCAACAGTCTTCTCCAACACCACAGTTCAAAAGCGTCAGTTCTTCTCACCTTTCTTTATAGTCCAACTCTCACATCCATACATAACTACTGGAAAAACCATAGCCTTGACTAGATGGGCTTTTGTTGGCAAAGTAATGTCTCTGCTTTTTAATATGCTGTCTAGGTTGGTCATAACTTTTCTTCCAAGGAGCAAATGTCTTTTAATTTCATGGCTGCGGTCACCATCTTCAATGATTTTGGAGCCCAAAAAAACAGTCTGTCATTGTTTCCCCATCTATTTACCATGAAGTGACGGGACCAGATGCCATGATCTTAGTTTTCTGAATGTTGAGTTTTATGCCAACTTTTTCACTCTCCTCGTTCACTTTCGTCAAGTGGCTCTTTAGTTCTTCTCCGCTCTCTGCCATAACAGTGGTGTCATTTGCATATCTGAGGTTATTGATATTTCTCCTGGCAATCTTGATTCCAGCTTGTGCTTCATCCAGTCCAGCATTTCTCATGATGTACTCTGCATATAAGTTAAATAAGCAGGGTGACAGTATACAGCCTTGACATACTCCTTTCCCGATTTGGAACCAATGTGTTGTTCCATGTCCAGTTCTAACTGTTGCTTCCTGACCTGCATACAGATTTCTCAGGAGGCAGGCAGGTCAGGTGGCCTGGTATTCCCATCTCTTTCACAGTTTTTCACAGTTTGTTGTGATCCACACAGTCAAAGGCTTTGGCATAGTCAATAAAGCAGAAGTAGATGTTTTTCTGTAACTCTCTTGCTTTTTCGATGATCCAGTGGACGTTGGCAATTTGATCTCTGGTTCCTCTGCCTTTTCTAAATCCAGCTTGAAGATCTGGAAGTTCACAGTTCACATACTGTTGAAGCCTGGCTTGGAGATTTTTGAGCATAACTTTGCTAGCATGTGAGATGAGTGCAATTGTGTGGTCGTTTGAGCATTCTTTGGCATTGCCTTTCTTTGGGATTCGAATGAAAACTGACCTGTTCCAATCCTGTGGCCACTACTGAGTTTTCCAAATTTGCTGACATATTGAGCACAGCACTTGCACAGCATCATCTTTTAGGATTTGAAATAGCTCAACTGGAATTCCATCACCTCCACTAGCATTGTTCATAGGGATGCTTCCTAAGGCCCACTTGACTTCGCATTCCAGGATGTCTGGCTGCAGGTGAGTGATCACATCATCATGGTTATCTGGGTTGTGAAGATCTTTTTTGTACAGTTCTGTGTGTTGTTGTCACCTCCTAGTATCTTCTACTTCTGTTAGGTCCATACCATTTCTTTCCTTTATTGAGCCGATCTTTGCATGAAATGTTCTCTTGGTATCTCTAATTTTCTTGAAGAGTCTCTAGTCTTTCCCATATTAATATTGTTGTATGGAGTTTTCAAAATCTTGTATTGCTTGTGCTTTATTTAATCCTGATTGATGCAATATAACCAGGAATATGTTCTCTTGATGTTTCTTTATCAAAGCTTTAATCTTCTATAATTTAGAGTTAAGTGAATATGAGTTCTGTTTTATTTTTAGTTATATGCAAAGTGATTTCTAGTGTCTACTTCAACAATTAAAACAGTAATTATTGGGAGGGAGGTTCAAAAGGGAGGGGATATATGTATCCTGTGGCTGATTCATATCAAGGTTGACAGAAAACAACAAAATTCTGTAAAGCAATTATCCTTCAATGAAAAAAATAAATTAAAAAGCAGAAATTGCCTGAAATTATCTTGTATAATTGCATAACTTTTTGAAGCAATACTAAACAAAATTTACTTTTTCTTATTTTCTAATTCTTATTTATATGAGTATATATCTTTCATAGTTAGGAATAGTTTTTGCTTCATAAAATTCTTTATTATACTTTCAAATTTGATATATTAAAATAACATTAGAGAGTAAACTGATCAAATGAGAACACTGTAACTTCCAATACTGTTGAAGAATCTGTTGTTAAAATGCAGTAGCTATTACATATAAAGATTTTTAAAGGATTTTATAAAGTGACTTCTTGTTTCTACTTTTAGAAATTCATTTTTTTGCACTTCCAAAAGTATATAAAGACATACTTTTGAATAGAATAAAAGTTCCATGAGCTTGGAGAATTTTGGCTTTTTGCTTAGAACTACATTTCTAGGTCCTAGAACAGTACCTGGCACATAGTGGGCTCTCAATAAATATTTTGAATGAAAGAATTTTTAAGAATGTTTATTACAGTATTATTTGTTATACTCAAATAATTGAAACCATTTCATATTCATTAGTGAGAGGGTGATGCTGGAAAAAATTGGAGTTGTTCCATGAATACTTATACTGATATACATTGACAACACCAGTTCATTCTGTGAAAAAAGCAAGTAGAAAAACAGTGTGTATAATACAACACCACTTTCATTTTTAATATTTTGATTTAAAAAATACATAATCCACTTATGCATAGCACTTAAACTTTCTGGTTTCAGGATCCTTTTGTAGCCCTAAAATTACTGATGATCCTAAATGGCATTTGTTTGTAGAATATATATGTATGTATTTATTTAGATATATATTTGCCATATTAGAAATTAAAGCAACATTTTAAATTTTACTTACTCATTTAAAATAAGAATAATGAATTTATTATATGTACGCATAAATAGTGTATTTTATGAAAAATAGTATTTTCCAAAGTAAAAACATTTAGTGAGAAGTGGCATTGGTTTACATTTTTGCAAATCTCTCAAATGTCCAGCTTAATAAAAGACAACTGAATTCTCATATCTGCTTCAGCGTTCAGTCCATTGTGATGCTGTTTTGGTTGAAGTACATCACGAAAATCTAGCCTCACACAGATAGGTAGTCAAAACAGGGAAAAGTATTTTAATTCTCAAGTCATCTACTCTTCTTAGATACAGCATTAAAACTCTACAAGTAATAGTTTCTTAAAGATTAGTGTAGTATAGAATTTAAAACCATGACAGTGAACTTTTCATACAAAGGCCTTTTCGTCTGTTTTGCACTTAGAATGGCTCTTTTACCAACGCAAGATTTTATAGCTTATGATTGGTCATTTGGAATATATTGGGTCACTAGTTGATTTGGATCTTCCAAATGTTGACACATTTTAATATGCTATACTCTAAAGTCACATTTGTGAATATCACAGCACAGTCTCATTTCAAAAGTTTTTAAGCACTGTGAAATTGTCAAGTCCATAATAATGGAAGCAAGTTATTTAAAATTCTGCTTTTCACTTCATTTGAAAGCTTTAATTTTATCATGAATAACACAATCAGTTGTTTCTCTGAAACTGATGGGCATACTTCATTCACTTGTTGAGAAAATGGCTGTGAAACCAAGTCTAAGTAATTTGTCATGTTGTCCGTCTATAAATAGTGCTCCATTTAAAAAAAAAGTGACTAATTCACTCTTATCACGATGATAACTTGAAAAGCAATTTTTAAAAATAATCTCAATTTATTTTTTAAATAAATGAAAAAGCATGGCAAAATGTTAACAGTGGTTATCTTAGGGTGGTGGGGAAATGGTAACTTTTCTTTTATTTCTTTTCATTTTTCTGTATTGAATAATATATTTTATTATATAGTTTAAGGTGTTATATAAGGTATGTTATTTATAGGACAGCTTACACATAAAATCAAGTGAATGTGAATTATTAAGGTTATTTTCTTTATTTTTCTTATTAGGATTTAGGTCCTGAATATGAAGATATATTTAATATCTCATTACAGTGGATTTTTGAAAATGGAAAAGATGTTGGAATAAGGTAAAGGATTTGGTTTCTACTTTGTCTATTTTGTAGCCTAAGCAGTGGTTTTGACTCTAAATGCTCCCTTAATTATTTTTGCATAGGTGTGTTGGTTATGGCCCTGAGGAAGAATTGACAGATATAGTTGATGTTCAGTTTTTACAGTCCACGAGACCACAGATGTCCTTCTGGTGTCGCTTCCGGCGTGCTTTTGTTACTGTCACGCACAGGCTGCTGTTGTTGTGCCTAGGTAAGTTGTGAGAATGAGGAAGGCACATTGTAGTCCAGATATTTGTGTCTGTACTTCATCCAGTGCCAGGGCTGAGAATATGCTTCTGCAGCAGTTGTCATTATGAATCACATCCAGAAGGCTTCTCTAAGATGTAGTAATACTGAGGGTGTTTATGATGTCAGCTGGCTTCCCTGGTGGCCCTGCTGGTAAGGAATCTGCTTGCAGTGCAGGAGACCCAGGTTCCATCCCTGGGTTGAAAAATCCCCTGGAAAGGGGAATGGCAACCCACTGCAGTATTCTTGCCTGGGAAATCCCATAGACAGAGGAACCTGCTGGCTACAATCCATTGGGTTGCAAGAAGTCGGACACAACTGAAGGGACTAACACACACAATGTCAGTATCAACCTAAGGGCTTAGGAAACTGCTATGACAAGTAGGAATCAGCCTTTGTCATAAGAATGTCATAGAAAAAGCAAATACAGTGCATAGATAGAAATCCACTTTAGGAAATAGAGCAGGAAGATATAAAAATTAGCTTATTTTTATAATACTGGGTTAGAAATTAACTTTTTAAAAATTATTTTTAATTTTGAAAATACTGTTTATCCAAATTAAAATTTTCATTCAGACCTCCTAATTCTATGTGACTATTAGAAATTTCCCCTCTTTTCTACCCAAGTCCTTTAAAAATAATTTAGTGTACTTAAATGTTTACAGTCTCATAAGACTCACTTTTCTAGTAGCTTAATGCTGCAAAGAAAAAGGTTTGTGAAGCATGTTAGTTTGTATTAAAAACAAAAAAGGAATTTAAATGTTCAGTTGTCAACCAAAAGAAGAAATGTTTCTTTCTGGAAAGATGAAGTGACACACTGAGCAGTGTTTAATATTGAATTTTTATACTTAATTTTATTACATAGCTCAATCAAACCACTGTCTTGAAGACTTATTCCACTATCCCATTATGGCAGTTAAAATAGTCACTGTAGAAGCTGTCAAAATGGCTTTTATCCCTCTACTTTGTTATACCAGATTTAACAACTGATAGTTGTTTCAGGTTGCAACAAATATTACTGAATGCCGCTGACCACAGCATATGTAAATATTACAGGTGTAGTGATGGTCTGTGCTGTTCTGCGCTACATGAAGTATCGCTGGACGAAAGAGGAAGAGGAGACACGGCAGATGTACGACATGGTGGTGAAAATTATAGGTCAGTGCTGGTGAAAACCTAAACTGTTCCTAGCATAGTCACCATGTGATAGACAACACGGTGTCCAAGAGTTGCTTTCTTTGTAAATTTGTTTCATTTACTTTCAGATGTTTTACGAAGTCATAATGAAGCTTGCCAGGAAAACAAAGATTTACAGCCTTACATGCCTATTCCCCATGTGCGCGATTCTTTAATACAACCTCATGACAGGTGTGTTCAAAGCATTTTGAGTTGAAGTAAATCAGAATGTTACCTTCTGTGGTCATGAAAATTGCATTGAGAGTTTTGACCCTTCTCAACAATAGCTGTTTTACTATACAGGTGTCTTTTTGTACTTCAAACTCTTTCTAAGCTTTCATCTGTTATTGGCCTGATTTCAAGTGACGTAATAGACAACTGAATTTCTAAGCATACTTTTCTTACTTTTTAAAAGTCTCTACCTTATTTCCTTCAATTACATCCTGATAAATAAACAGAGACAGACAGCAGCCAGTGATGTTTAACTAATGCTTTAAAATACTTCATTTTGTTGTTAATGAAGCTTTTTAAATAAAAGAATTCAACAACAACTCCTTGAAAATAAAAGATAATGTCACATCCTAAAGCAGCGTTCTTACCCTGTGTAAGATGTGTAGCAACACATCAGAATCATCAGTAGAGCTTTCTTTTTTTTTTTTTTCCATCAGTAGAGCTTTTGAGAGGGGAAATACCAATGCATTGTTCCACCTCTGGACATCCAAATATGGTAAATCTGAGGGGAGTTTCAGGCACCTTAATCTTGAAAACTGCATAAGCATTGATAAGAACAGCCCTAATTAAGAATAACAACTACTACCTTCAGTTACTAATATTTGAAAAAGATGACAGACAAAGATGATAGTAAGTTTGTCATTTTCCTTCAAATGATAGGAAGAAAATGAAGAAAGTCTGGGATAGAGCTGTTGACTTCCTTGCTGCTAATGAGTCTAGAGTTCGCACAGAAACACGAAGAATAGGTGGTGCAGACTTCCTAGTTTGGCGGTGGGTCCAGCCTTCTGCCTCCTGTGACAAAATATTAGTAATACCTTCTAAAGTGTGGCAAGGTCAAGGTATGTATGCTTAAACAACAAAAAATATAGACAGTTTTTTCAAATATGAAATTCTTATGTGTTTAAAATAGTACAACTGAAAGATATATATGATGGCAAAGCTCCCTTCCAGCCCCATCCCGTAGAAGGAATCCGTGTTAGCTTCTTACTGTCCTCCCACTTTTCTGTGTGCTAATACAAATAACATGGTTTGTCTTCACACTGATACAGTACTAGATACATTACTTTGATTTTTTTCTCTTTCACTTACTAAAAACAACCTAGTACTAAAGATCTAACTGCATTCTCTTCCTCTGATATTTTTTGTACAGATAATTTATATGTATTTTATTTATAGATACATATTTATATATGCACAAGTATATATTTATATATACACATTTATTTTATATTTAAAACATATGTAAGTGAAATCATAACTTTTTAACTTCTCTTTTTTTTCTATTTTTGCTTGCCTTTTTCATTAAGAGTCTTTCACCAATGAGATACTTGCATATCTCATGCCAAGTCACTTTTGTGGGTGTCTTCTCATATTTTTCTTAATGCTTGTATAGTTGCAAAAACAGATATAAGTTTATAGGTGGACTTGGTGTTTGGTTGCCTTATGTACCCAAACCTCTACAAGTAATAACTGTTACTGCATTTGAATTTTTTGTATCTTAATGGTTAGTTGCAAAAAGAAATCTCGTGGCTAGTTTAATTTGTATTTCAGAACTAGTAGTTAGTTGAGTTTCTTTTAATCTTGTTGGATAAAAAGCATATTTATCAATTCTTGCTAAACATAGACTATATGGGAAAGGTAGGTTAACTGTTTTGAAATTGAAATAAAATCCAGTCTCTCCCTTTTTTCTCTAATTGAGTTTCACTTTCAAAGACCTTGAATAATAGGTTCCATAATTGTGATGTAAAAATGAAGCTTTGTTGCCAAGATGACACTAAACCATTAACTATTTGCTTTAAAGGGTTTAAAGGGTGCATGCTGGGGAGTTCCCTAGTGGCCTAATGGTTAGCATTTCAGGCTTTCACTGCCATGGTCCAGGATCAGTCCCTGGTCAGTGAAGTGAGATATCCCACAACCGAGTGTTGTGGCTAAAGAACAAAACGGTGCTTGTCTGCAGAGTTGGTGTAATAGTTAAGAGTAGTCTTTTGAGTTCACTACCACTACAGGCTATTGTCATTTAATGGTACTTTCCCAAGTAACTGTTAAATAATCAACCTTACTGAATTTTTAGTTCAATTTCTAAATAGTACTTAAATATGAAATGGGTGATAATATTAGTATGTCTAAAGGTATTGTAAAGCACGAGTTACAAATTAAACACTATCTGCTGGGAAGCACAAGAATTATTTATGCTTCTGACAGATGTCATGTTTGGAATAAATAGCATTCATTTGAAGGACCCAAAGGTAGCTCCTGAGGTTATTTAAAATGTGTCATTCAGTAGCTACTATATCTTTACATAGCCATGGGAATTAGAGTTTAGTTAGAGAGATCAATCAGTTTGATCTTTTGGACTACTTTCTGACTAGAATTGGCCAGGGATCATTTCTTCCAGGTCTTTTATTTTCTGGAGTCTTGGGTCTAGGCTAAAATAAGGTGATATGAATGTTTCTGTTTTCTCTGGTTGAACCCTTGCTAACCTAGGTCTTATTAGAATTTCAAGGAAGTCAGACTGTCTACAGCTAAAAGGGCATCTAAGAACAGAATCTATATACTGCTAGAGAAGTGCGGAAAGTACTAGAGGTTCACAGACCTTCTTGATGTGAGATTTGGCAAAAGATTTTTCATATCTAGTAACTATACCTCCATCCCATGTCAAACACTGTTCGAATATTCATACTGCAGATGTTTCTTATTACTGACACTTGTGAACTCTTTGATTGATACACTCTGTTTTTGTCATGAGCTCATCCTTTCAGCCTTCCTGCTTCATGTATTTGGGAACTCCATAATCTCTGATTCTAAAGTGCTCATTCTTTCTCCAGTTCTTTAGCCTTTCTCCTGTCTTCACTTCTTTTCCTATCCATCCTAGTTTCCCTGGTCCATCTTTTCAGTCACGCTCTTGCTAGTACCCTTATGTCATCACCTGTCCTTAATCTTACCCTGGTAAATTCCAACCAAGGATGGAACTGTTTTATCTCTGCTTGTCTGTATGCTCATGACTGAGTGTTAGCTCAACATTCAGAAAACTAAGATTATGGCATCTGGTCCCATCACTTCATGGGAAATAGATGGGGAAACAGTGGAAGCAGTGTCAGACTTTTATTTTTTGGGGCTCCAGAATCACTGCAGATGGTGACTGCAGCCATGAAATTAAAAGACGCTTACTCCTTGGAAGGAAAGTTATGACCAACTTAGACAGCATATTAAAAAGCAGAGACATTACTTTGCCAACAAAGGTCCGTCTAGTTAAGGCTATGGTTTTTCCAGTGGTCATGTATGGATGTGAGAGTTGGACTATGAAGAAAGCTGAGCGCCAAAAAATTAATGCTTTTGAACTGTGGTGTTGGAGAAGACTATTGAGAGTCCCTTGGACTGCAAGGAGATCCAACCAGTCCATCCTAAAGGAGATCAGTCCTGGGTGTTCATTGGAAGGACTGATGCTGAAGCTGAAACTCCAATTCTTTGGCCACCTCATACGAAGAGTTGACTCATTGGAAAAGAACCTGATGCTGGGAAGGATTGGGCACAGGAGGAGAAGGGGACGACAGTGGATGAGATGGCTGGATGGCATCACCGACTCGATGGGCATGAGTTTGAGTAAACTCTGGGAGCTCGTGATGGACAGGGAGGCCTGGCGTACTGCAATTCATGGGGTCGCAAAGAGTCGGACACGACTGAGCGACTGAACTGAACTGAATGACTGAGCATAGCAAGGAGAGTCACAACCACTTAGCAGACTGGCACCTTGATAAATAATTAATTGCAATTAGGTTGTCAGTACTACTTGCCTTTCCTGTTCCTACCATTTTTTGCTAGTCGCTTCAGTTTCCTGTTCTACTCAAAAGCAGTTTTAGATCTCGTCCCCTCTTTTCAAACCTTTGCTCTTCTCCATCTTCTGATTCTCAGTTGATGACTTCAAATAGAAGCAATTGGATTATACCTGCCTCAAATTTCCACTGCTAAATCCATAGAATTACCAGAATCTATTCTCATCCTGGTAGCTCAGATGGTAAAGAATCTGCAGTGTGGGAGACCTGGGTTTGATCCTTGGGTTGGGAAGATTCCCTGGAGAAGGAACTGGCAGCCCACTCCAGTATTCTTTCCTGGAGAATTCCATGGACAAAGGATCCTGGCAGGCTAAAGAGTTCATGGGGTGCAAAGAGTCAGACATGACTGAGCGACTAACACACATACATTCTCATCCTCACCTCTTGTTGCAATCAGTGTACTATCTCGTTTAACAAGGACCCAGCCCTTCTCTTCAGAGGATCCCTCTGGATCTCATTCCCTCTAGTCTTCTCAATTATCTTCCCTTACTGTGTTTAAATTCCTGCCTCTCCTGGATCTTTTCATTAGCACTTAAACATACTGTAGTCTCATCTTGAAAACACATTGTTGCACTATACACTGTCCTATAGCTGTGTCTCTACCTACATATAGCCAAATAGCATTAAACAATTTACTCACTGTCTTTACTTTTTCACCTCCCATTTATTCTTTAGCTGACTTCAATCTGTTATCCATCCTCATCATTTCAAGGGAATCACTGTCAGACTTCGATGTTGCTAATTTCAATCGACATTTTCCTTTTTTTTTTTCATTTATTTTTATTAGTTGGAGGCTAATTACTTTATAATATTGTAGTGATTTTTGCCATACATTGACATGAATCAGCCATGGATTTACATGTGTTCCCCATCCTGATCCCCCCCCTCCCACCTCCTTCCCCTTATTTTACTTAGCAATATTCACAATTGAACCTGCCTTGGTACTTTCTTGTTTTGTGGTTGCCTCTTTCTTCTGATTTTCATCCTACTTCTTACCATTTCTTAGATCTTCTTTTCCAGATTTTCCTGGACCTCTAAGTATTGAAGTTTTTCCAGGCCATCTTTTATCTTCTCCTGGTCTTCTCAAATAATCTTATGCTGCAACTTCATTTGCTATATATATGTTGATAACTTTCAGTTTTATATCATGCACTAAGTCTTCTGTTCTGACTTTCAGATTTTTATACCCAGATGTATACTTGTCTTCTGTACTAAGAAGCGCCAGACTTTCAACACATGCATGAACATAATGTCATCTCTCTCCAAACTGACCTCTCCTCCAGTGTCCTGTTTAATTAATGATACCGTCCCCTCTTCAGTTGGTTCTGTCAAAAACCTGGGAGTCATCCTTAATCTCTCCCTTAGTTAGTCCCTACATGTGCAGTCATTAAACAAGTCATGTCAAATCTATTCCATAATGTCCTGATTCTGTCCACTTATTTCCATCTTCATCATTGACTTGTCTTATCCACATACTATCATCTCCATCTTGGACAACATAATAACCTCTAACTAGTCTCCTTGCATTCATTTTTACTTCCATCTATTTTCCACCTAACAGTCTATTTAAAAAATTTAAGAGATCCCATCTTACTATTCCTGTCCTTAAAACATTTGAGTGGATTCCCATTGCTGTTATGGTAATGTCCAGCACTTTAATGTGGCTTACATAGTCCTCCATAATCCAGCATCTTCTCCAGGTTTATTTTTCTGTTGTTCCATCTCTAGTCACAGTGGCTGTCTTTTAGTTATTTGAATATATCAAGTTCCTTCTTGCTTTAGTTATTTGAATATATCAAGTTCCTTCTTTCTTTGGGCTTTGTATAAGCTGTCATCTTCGCTTTAGATGTCCTTTACACCTCTCTTTATTTTGCCTATGTTTATTTATTCTTTAGGTTTCAGCATAAATTTTTTCTTTTTTACTTTTTTAATTGAAAGATAATTGCTTTACAGAGTTTTGTGGTTTTCTGTCATACATCAGCAAGTATCAACCATAGGTACACCCTCCTCAGTGTTATCTGATATTCACAGATGGGTTTAAGTACATTGACAGTTTTCTGTACCCTTCTTAGAATTTGCCACAGTTATAATTTCTCTGGAGATACTGTTTTTCATCTGTCTCTCCAACTGTAAAGTGTGAGATCAGTGACTGTGTCTGTCTGATTCACCTTGATCCAGGGATCCAGCTCATAGTAAAAACATGCAGTGAATATTTTTTGAATGAACTGAGTGACCTTTCAGTTGAATACCTTTCAATAAAATGGAACAGTGGAAAATAGTAAAACTAATTTGTTTTTTATAGCATTTCATTTAGATAGAAGAAATTCACCACCAAATAGTTTGACCCCATGTCTGAAGATTCGAAACATGTTTGATCCAGTTATGTAAGTATTATGACAAAAGGTACATGCAATCTTTTTAATATTAGGCTGAAAATACATGATAGTCTTATAATGCTGTGTCTATAATTGAAAAATCTCTTTTACTTCTGAATCTTAACTACCAAAAAGTTATATTTTTCCCAATTCTTCTTTTTAAATTTGAAACAAAGTTTTCCCAAAAGACACAGGTGTATAATGATTTGAAAAACTTTCTTAAATCCTTGTATTTACTGTGAATCTCTATAGAAGACAGATGCTTGAATCAGATTAATGACAGATATGATGATAAACAACAGTATTGCTTATTAAATGTATGTCATGTTTGCCACTACTCTTTGCCTCTGTAGGCAATATAAATAAAAATGTCTGCTGTCTTAAAATTTCCAAACCCTTATTATAAAAAAAGTTTTCTACGAAAGATATACATACCCTCCTTTCTATAAGATTTGTCTACCTGTCATTGCAATATTTGAGGAACTTTTATGTCCATTTACCATTTGAGAAACTTTTCTATATAATTACAGTGACATGTGCATTCCAGAAAATACTATAGTCAACAGTTATTTCTTTAAAATCCATAATATTTTGCATATAACCTGTAATACTCTTTAGAATTTGCTTCCTAGAGGTGACTGCTTATCTGTCCAACAATAGGACAAATCAGATTCTGTTTTTTAAAAAAAGCTGATAGTAGAAATTGTATTATGTGTAAAATATGCATAATTCCCATCTGATAACTCATTTATTTTAAGAAATAGTTGATATGGTAAACTAAGTAACAGTGAAATTGTTAATGTGACAAAGCACTGTCAGCACACACACACACACGCACACACACGCACGCACACACACGCACCCACACACACGCACCCCCTTCATTTTGCAGAGGTAGAAGCAATAGTGTGGTGATCCCTCTATTGGGAGTTTTACCTCATACCTTAGAGATTAGGAAATCTGTGCCAGTCCAGGATTTTATCACCTGAGATGGAAGTTTATGATTTGAAGTCTAATGGCCTTTGCCTCTGCCCCACCATCTGTATCTCACAAGAAATACAAATGTGTGTTACTATAGCAGAACCTCTTTCATAATAGTAAAGTGACTTATTTTTGCAAAATGTTTGTCCTGTATAAAGTTTCTTATATTTTGGAAAAAAACAGCTCAGAATATATTTACTGAGAATTTTCCTTAAGTTAGGAATTTGAAATTGTCATTAAAAAATAATGCTTAACTTTTACAAGTTTACCACAACTCATTGAAGTGTTTATTAACACTTGTTTAGAGAGAAATGACTGTAAGTGCAAAGGATTTTAAACATAAAACTGAAAACACATTTATTTTGCTATGGTAGGCTGATCCTTCAGTGCCTCAGCTTTCACTGGAAAGTGAGAACATAGCTGGGACTTCTGAGTGCTAACATTTTAAAATCTACCTACTGCTAGTAAAAAGCATTTATATAAGTAGTTTTTTAAAAAATACATGGTTTTTAAGCTGTCCTAATTCTAGTTAAGTATATGGTGATGCTAGTGGTAAAGAACCCACCTGCCAAGGCAGGAGACATAAGAGACCCAGGTTGAATCCCTGGGTTGGAAAGATCTCCTGGAGGAGGGCATGGCAACCCACTCCAGTATTCTTGCCTGGAGAATCCCATGGACAGAGGAGCCTGGCAGGCTACGGTCCATGGGGTTGCAGAGTCAGACACAACTGAAGCAACTTAGCATGTACTCATTGAAGAGACAAAAGACTTCTTTCTGAGTAGGAATATGGCTGTTGATTTTTGTTTTCATTAAATTTTTAGGGAAATAGGGGATCAGTGGCATTTGGCAATTCAAGAAGCAATTTTAGAAAAATGCAGTGATAATGATGGCATTGTTCACATTGCAGTAGACAAGAACTCTCGTGAGGTAAAGTAACTTTCACTATTAAATTCTACATTTTGAATTGTTGCTACTAAACTAAGACTATTTTTTTCTTCCTTTTTGTTTCCTTTTAAAAATATTACAGGGTTGTGTATATGTTAAATGTCTGTCTCCAGAATATGCTGGGAAAGCTTTTAAGGCATTGCATGGCTCTTGGTTTGATGGTAAGAAATTTGAATACTACAGACATTTTGAAAAGATAAATTATGGCTTACTGTTAAATTCTACCAGATTTTAAATTAAAGAATCTTAGGTTATCATTTGTAGAGTAATAATTTTAAATTATTTTATTTGTGTTCATTTATCTTTTACCACCATTTGTTTTCTATTGATATTAAGCATATTCATACAGATCTAAAATATCATTTTTATCTTACAACAGGGAAGTTGGTTACAGTAAAGTATTTACGACTAGATAGATATCACCATCGCTTTCCCCAGGCTCTCACTTGCAACACCCCCTTGAAGCCATCAAATAAACACATGAACTCTATGTCTCATCTTCGTCTTCGGACTGGCCTAGCCAATTCTCAAGGAGGTTCCTGAAAAGACTTTCTTCCACTCCTAAGACTGTTCTTTACAGTAGGAAAATTCCTGTTTGGCTTCCTGTCTCCCTTTTTAATGCTTTTTGTATGTAATATTTTTATTGAATACAGCTCTATTTGAACGTTCCAGAAATCTTAAGGTTCCAAAGGGACTTAGCAGTGAGGCAGCAATGCTGAGTAGATAGAGTAATTGTTTTGTTCAGTTTTTGGAGTTCAGTTAAGCCAATGCACTTAAAAGTTTTGCATGAGGAACATTGACCTTACTAAGCATTTTCAGATGTGATGGTTGTATTTTGCACCAAGAAGTGTTTGAATAACCACACAAAAGCATGGGGAAAAGGCTTCTTGTTTTTCCATAATTTCCTGTAAACTGATATTGTGAATTTTTGTATACAGTCACCTAAATAGTTGCTTACAGGCTAATGTGGTAAAACTGTTAATTTCCCAATTTAACCTTAGGTTTCTGTTGCTTGTAAGAGATTCATTGCTACAGCCGGAATATGGGAAAATCAACTCGGGTTTAGTGGTTACATAAAAGTGTAAGTGGATGTACATGTACTTAAACTGGCTTTTGTATATATGTATAAATGCTGGTGATGGCCAAAGTAGTCTGTTTTGTGAGGATGTCTGCATTAAAGCAGTAAAATAAGCTTCCTATTTTATTCATAATCTAATGTGTGTATATATATGTATGTGTATATATGTGTGTATGTATATATATATGTGTGTATGTATATATGTGTATATATACACACACATATATACATATGGCTGTACTATCATACAGATCAAACAGCCAGACACCTGGAAGTATTAGATACAAGTTTAAAATAACTTTTATAGGTTTTATATAAAAATGTCTGAGTATGATTTTGTGTGAAAGTTCCAATATCAGTTGTAATAGATTCAAATTTATGTGAGCAATAAAAAAGCAATTGGCAGATATTGGGAAAGTATTTTGTGAAAAGCTGTATTTATTATAAATACTAGGGCTATGACATAGTACCACTGGGATTAAGTCATTTTCCCAATCTATTTATAATTTAATGAAATGTTAGCTTCCCTGTTGTATGTCAAGTTTAAAGCAGGGCACATTGTCGCAGCAAAATGTGTATTTGAAAAATTCCGTTTCCAATTTTGGGTCATGAAAGTCCACAGTATATTAAATACACGAGTGATGGTCACTTTGTGCCTGGGTATTTACTTTGTTTCAGAAAAGTTACTTTATTATGGTTTATGATTTCAGATTAAAATAGTTATGGAGCAAAGTTTACTTGTAATGTAGCAATTGGCTTTTTAAAAATAACCTGTTGGTATATCATTTTCAGTCCAAATGAATATGTGAAACAGCTGAAATTGTACCAATTTTGATTTTGTTTAAAGCTCAGTTTCCTTTTATTTAAAATTGTATATGTGTTAGGTTTGCAGCATGAACTTGCACAGTTAATGCACGTTTCCTGGTTAAGTAAACATGATGCACACTGTTCTGTAACAGAAAACCTTACTGTGCCTTACCTGTGTGCTTTTGTGGGCACCATGTTTATGAAGAATAAAAAATGGTTTGTTATCTGAAGAGAATAAACTTTAAATTCTCAGTTTATGTCTCAGATGCTAACATGTGAAAATATAAATATATATATATAATATATAAAGTAACCAATCTTTCTGTATTTTATGTGCATCACAGTGATTTATCTGAGCTTAGTGACCCCATCTTGTGACCTGTTACAAGAGTGAATGTAAAAAAATAGTTGTGGCATTTTAAGAGGTCGCCTTTTGATGCATATGCATCTTTTTCTTGCTTCTAAAACATATTCCATGTAAGCATTGTACACTTATTATTGTAATATATACTATTATGCAGCTTATTTTATCTGAAACTGTTAAGCCGACCAAGATCCCTCCCTGCAAGACAGATGGGAATGTGTATAATAACTAGATATTTGAGACGTTCTGAAGTTTGATGTAATCTGTTACTTGTCCTGTTTAAAAAAAGGAAAAAAATTCTAATTAAAAATTTATTAGGTTTTTTTTTAATGTGTCTTGGCTTTTAAAACTTTTGAAGTGCTTTGTGTCTTTATTTTATTTTATTTTTTAACCAGTGAAAGTAGATCCCTTCATTTTTAATCTTTTTGGGTATTTGTAAACATACATATGCTATAAAAGTGGATGAAAATTAATTTTAACTTTCATCCATAAAGTTAATTTTCTTTATGAAAATGTCTTTGTTTAACTTTCAAGTGTTTGGCTCAAAGTGGGGCAAGAATATAGATCAGATAGCACTGCTTAGTTTAGCTAAACATTTTTTCATAGCAAGACTTGCTCAAAAAAGGAAGCCATTCTTTCACACATTCTGGCTCAAACGCCTTATCATAAATAAACAGTCCGTGGTCTTGCTACTTTGAGTAGCATTGGTTTAGATTTTTAGGTGGTTTAATCAAGTAAAAAGAAGACTTGACTTAGTTGGTAGAGTTTTATTGATTGCTAACAAATGTCAGGCACTTGTTAGGAGTGCAAAGATGGAAAAGACATGACACAGTCTTCAAGATGGTCATAATCCAGAGGAAGAACATAGACAGCTTACTTAAAAGGTAGTGTTGAAAATACAGTGAGAGAAGAAAGCAGAATAAATTCTGGGAGTATAGAGGGGTACCTTATGCATCTTAGTAGATGGAGAAGATACCAGGACAGATGAAGTATTAATAACATTAGACAGTTTTGAATTAGTATAGATACAGTGATAGGTCTCTTTTCCCCTGAGCTCTCAGGGAAGTTTCTATTCTTGTGATGAGCTTATAAAAATTAATGTGTGGAACCTGAGTTATCACAAAATCCATTTTCATGCTCATTGGTATGCAGATTCTTGAATATCCTGTGAATATTGAAGCCTCTTATTGAACTTTGTTATATTTTCTTTGTGTGCTATTCACTGTTTGGATGACAAGTTGTAATTTCCAAGTGAACAATGTCTTGAAGTATCATATGCCCAGAACATTTCCTTTAATCTTATTGACCTTACAATTTTCATCCCTTGCTCCTGGTGACATTACATAGTACTATAGGTCACCTACGTGGCGGCTTCACCCTTTTTCCCTAGACTTACCAAGTCACTTCTTCAGATGACTCAACAAAGAATGCTAAATCAAGCAGAATTTTGGCAACCACTCTTTTGGAAAGAATGTTCAAGAACAGGTATTTAATTGAAAATTAGAAACCATTAGTTGTGGTCTAAAGAAACTATCCATAATGCTCATTCTACTGGTCTAGTGAGCATGACTAGCTACTCCCTTTAAGTCTCACTGGAGAAACTTTATGACTAGAAATACATCCTGATGGTAGATTTCTGTACCTAAGAAAAAACCTCTGCTTGGGGCAGCAGGATAGTCTCATTTTGTTGATTCTTAGACTTTAAAGCCAGTAGCACCTGAGTGCTTTAGATTGACTGTTTCTTGCATGGGTGGACATTGGAGACCTGCACATGCTCCTTAAAATTGGAAAGAAGGCCATCTAGGCGTAGAAAGATCCGTATAGTGAAAGCTAGGGTTTTTCCAGTGGTCCTGCATGGATGTGGGAGTGGACCATAAAGAAGGCTGAGCACCAGAGAATTGATGCTGTTGAACTGTGGTGTTGGAAACGACTCTTAAGAGTCCCTTGGACTGCAAGAGGATAAAACCAGTCAATCCGAAAGGAGATCAGCCCTGAATATTCAACAACAATGCAGCAGCAGCAGCAGCTTTATTATACATCATTATACAACAGACAAATTCAAAACCTATTTGGCTCAGGAATTCTACTAAAAAGATAGCTGGCCCAGAGGTAAGAAAGCAGCAACTGAAAGAGGTACAAATTGTTCAATTTTTAAAATTATAGTTGATTTACGTCATTGTGTTTCAGGTGTACAGCAAAATGATTCAGTTATACAAACCAGTCAATCTTAAAGGAAATAATTCCTGAATATTCATTGGAAAGACTGATGCTGAAGCTGAAGCTCCAATACTTTGGCTCCCTGATGCAGAGTCAGCTCATTGGAAAAGACCCTGATTCTGGGAAAGATCAAAGGCAGGAGGAGAAGGGGGCGACAGAGGATGAAATGATTGGATGGCAACACTGACTCAGTGGACATGAATTTGAGCAGACTCCGGGAGATGGTGAAGGACAGGGAAGCCTGGTGTGCTGCATTCCGTGGGGTCGCTGAGTCAGACACAGCTGAGCGACTGAACAAGGCATAGAGAACACATGAAAAAGATTGAGCAGAAACAACCCAGTGCATGTATAAACTGCACACAGTTTCTCATGGCTGAATCACTGAGTACAAAACATTATGTAGAGACATGAAAGGTAGGTGCTGATCAGTTCATGGAACACGTAGGTTATTCTGAATTTGGATGAAGGTTGTGAAAGGGAGATAAGGTGAGGATTTGTTGGGCTGAAAAATGGAGAAAGGATTTGAAAAATACCCGAGATAAAATGGGAAGGACTTAATTAATTGGATATTGAGAGAGCAATTGATGTCCAATTTTCTAATATAGGAATTCTAATCCAATATTTGGAGAATAGGTGATAAGTGAGAAATTGGATGGGAAGGATTAATTGAATTTTTGGATATGTTGAGATTGGGATGCCTATGGAACATCCAGGTGGATATCCCTAGTGGGTGATTAGATTTTCAATTCTGAGGTATTCTGAGAAAAATCTGAGCTAGAGATAAGATACAATTTGGGAGTTAAAACCACAGAGGTGAATTGGATGACCCAGAGAGAGAGTGTCCATATAAAGACAGAAATTTAGTTTAATCCTAATTCTGCCATATATAGCTATTTGGCCCTTCTGTGGCAATTTGGGTTGGGGTGAGGTATTAAAATTCTGAAACAGTAAGAGGGTAGAATTTGAAAAGGTATTTGAATGGGGTGATGTTGAAAGAAATTTGGTATGATGTACGTTTCTAGCTTAGGCAACTGGTTAGATGGTGTTGACATTCCCTAATTATGGATGGGGATGGGG